ATAGAGGGATTTGTTGCACTTAGAATGGTGGGAACAATGTCAACGTCGCGCGCAGCTGCTTCTGAGCCCCCACCCCGCCAAGCCCTGCCAAGCAGCCCCCTCGCCCCAGCCCCTCTGATTTATGGAAGGTCAGAGGGCATCATGGCTAAAGGGCCCCTTCCTCGCACCCCTCGTTAACCCTTCGCACACAATGGTCCCTTCTCTGGTGGTGGCGTGGGGGCCGGTGTGGCACAGCACTTCCTGGAGCATCCCAGGCTGGCGGCTCAAGATGCCTTCAGGCCAGGGGCTCCCTCCAGAGCAGGCCAGGGCCTCATGGGGGAGCCCTGCTGCTCGGGACCCCCCAGGACAGCGGGTCGACAAGATGGCCGCCCAGTTTGCTGTCCCCGTGGGGCATTCGGCTTGCCCTCTGATGCCCTTTCAGGGGCACGTCGGATGAGGTGCTGAGTTCCTGATGTGGCTAAGCGGGGGGCACACAGGTGAGGGGTGCCGGGGCCTGGTGTCAGCAGCAGTGTGGACACTGAGGGGACAGTTTCTGGAGAAGGCGAAGCCTGAGCTGTCGACGCGACTCCAGCAAAGCGCAGGGGCCACCCAGCAGAGCCAGGAGCCAGGGCCCTCCCCCGCCACTTCCTGCTGGTAACACGGGAGGAATACTGCTACTATCTGACAGGGTACCTGGAAAGACTGCATGGTACCAGGGAGGTACTGAGAAGAGAAGCGGTGTGCGGCAGGGTTCCAGGCGGTCACGGTTGCTGACGCTCACAGCACCCCGAGATATAAGTCACGGCTCCTCGGACGCAGCAACTGAGGTTGGGGTTTCCCCTCGGGTCACATAGCTGGCATTTCCGGAACCAGGGTTCTACTCCAGGGCTCCACACTCCAAATTCAGAAATCCACTTTGGAACAGGCACCCAAAACTCTAAACGTGGATTCAGGGACAGAGACTTGGTAAAGGACCTCTTTAGGGCTAATCCCAAAATGGGCGGCAGCCTAGCTTCCCTCCAGAAAGAAAAATAAAACAAATAATAATAATAAAAAAAAAACTCCACAGGGAATCCTCTTAGTCCCTTCATACTGAAGCACAAGCCAGAGGTCAATCAAGTTTCACCCAGCTCACACCTCAGCCGAGCAGGAGCCTCCTGACAGCCCCTGCTCCCTACAGACCGTCCTCACCACCCCAGCCAGGCCCCAGGCCACTGATGTGGCTAGTGACTCTTCCTCTAACAGAGGAAATTAAGCATCATAATAGCCACTGCACCCCCAGCCTCTAGGAACTGAGCTGCACCTTCAGGACATGTCCAGAATGTTCCATCTCACTTCTTTTTGACATTGCACAAGGACCAGCCAGTGCAATATGGCAAGAAATTGAAATAAAGGCCATACAGACTGGCAAAGAACCAGTCACGCTAGCTCTATTCACAGGGAACAATACAGAAAGTCCCAAATAGTCTACAAAAATATCTACAATAGGAAATCAGTTTAGCAAGGTTGCAAGACACAAAATCAATGTATTCTCCCAAATTAACTATATTCTACCCACTAGCTAAAAAATCCTGACATCCTAAAGTTTCACATCTCATTGAAATAAAACATGAAACACTCAGGGGTAAATGTGTATTATAAATGCATGTGGTAACAACACTGAAGAGGGAAGAGAAGAAAGGACCTGACCAAATAAGTTTCTACAATGTTTTAACCAGATTCTGTAAAACTATAGCTAGAAAGACGTGTACACAAGCACGTGTCCATTTGTGCAGTGTATCGTTCCTCCAATTATGGTGCCATCTCACATGCACTCTAAGTTCAGACACAAAGACAAAAATAACTATTGAGGAGAACCAAGCTGCTCGCTGGCAGAGCAAGAAATACCAGCAGACAAGGGTCAGGGCTGGCATCGGCCGTGCAGCGCTGGGGTGGGAACTGAACTTCCAGCCCTGGCGTGTGAGCAGACCTAGTGACTCGCTCCTAACGGAGCATGAAGAGGGAAAACAGCATTTACAACTGCGGATCCTGGCAAACAGTGCCTGAACCCAGCGCAGCGGTCAAGGTTGACAGCGCCCTTTAGAAGGTGACTCAGGGCCCTCCCTGGTGGCACAACGGGTTGGGATGCAGCACTGCAGGCTGGCTGCAGCCACTTCACTGCAAGTTTGATCCCCGGTGCAAGAGGTGACCTTTACAGGGCGCAGCAGACTTCTCCTGTCTCACTCACTGCAAAATGCCTTCCCAGTGTTCTTCAAAAGTGGCAAGATTCACCCTCCCTGGTGGCGCAGCGGGTTGGCGCACTGCGAAGCTAGGCCAAGCTGAGGCCACTTCAGTGTGAGTTCGATTCCCCAGCCAGGGAGTGACCCAAATGGCGCAGCAGACCTCTCCTGTCTCCCCGCTGCTCCCTTCAGCAGTGTAGTTTGGTCAATCTGCCTGTTGTGCTCCCCACTCTGTCACTGGTGAATCCTCTCACTGCCCCTGCACCTCTGGCTTGTACCCCATTTCTGTATGCATAAATAAATAAAATCTTAAAAAAAAAAAAGAAGAAGAACAAAAGTGGCAAGGTCACGGGGAACCAGGAAAGACTGCAGAGGGAGGGTGCAGACGACAAGTCAAGGTAGCGTGGGGTCCTGGCTTGGATCCTGGAGCCAAAAGGGCACTAGAGGAAGTTGGTAAAGGGCAGACAGGGCCTCTTTGTATTGTCTTTACAACTCTCCTGTAAGTCTAACATTATTTCAACCTAAAAAGTAAGAAACATTATCAGATAATATAGCTTAAAAATGTAACATATTCAGGGATAAATTGGGCAAAAGATGAAATCTACAAACATCACTGAGAAATGAAAGAAGACATTAGCCACTGGAAAGATATGGCACATCCATGGGCTGAAAACTCGCTCCTTAGGATGTCAGTTCTCCTCAGATGGTTCTATAGATTTAGCCCAACCCCAATAAAAAGCCCAGCAAACTCTTTGGGACAAGCTGATTCTCAACTTCATATGGAAATGCAAAATAGTCAAAACAATAGAATAGAATACAATAGAATAGTCAAAACAATTATGAGTAAAGAACAAAGTCAAGGGAATGAAACTGCCAGATCTGAAGATTACATTACAAGACTGCAGTACACAAAACAGTGTGGTATCTGCGTAAAGAAATACATACAGATCAGTGTAAAAATAGAGAGCCAAGACCAGACCCACACACAAGGCCAACATCAACCCTGTCAACCAGGATACTCAATAGAATAGCTGTGTGCAGGAGAAAATGAACCTTGACCTTTATCTCACACAACATTCAAAATTAAAAAGAGAAATAGCTCAAAACATCACAGGCTTAAATATCTAAAACTATAAAACCTCTAGAAGATAACATAGGAAGAAAATCTTTGGGAACTTAGGTGAAGTCTCTAGATACAGTATTAAATGCACAACCCATAAAAGAAAAAATGGTAAACTGAACTTTATCAGAATGAAAAATGTGATTATAGGAAAACCAGCCGGAGACTGGGAGGAAATCGTTGCAGATCATGCGTCCTCTAAAGGACTGTAATCAGGGGAACCCTGTAATAAGGAGAACTCTGAGCATTCGAGGATAGGAAAACAAATCACTTATTTAATGGGCCACGTCACCAAAGGAGATTCACCGTGTCAGGTGAGCACACAGATGCTCGTGATGACTCGTCACCAGCAGAGATGAGGGTTAAAACCGCCGTGCATGAGACAGCATGATCCCGTTCCCGGTGGTCAAGCTACAGAGGCGCCCCCCCCCCAAGCTGGTATCTAGCCTGTGCCGGAAGCGGCAGCCCCCACACTCGGTGGGGGTGTGAAATGGCACGACCGTTTTGGAACACAGTTAAATACACACCTCACCCACCACCCAGGCGTTCCTCTCTGGGGTGTTTACCTTCTGGAAAGGAAAACATGTCCACACCACACTTTACATGGCTGTTCACAGCAGCTTTATTTGTAATAGACAAAATCTGGAAATGACCCAGATGTCCATCAACCAGTGAGTGGATAAACAAATTGTGGTCTATCTCTACAATGGAATATTCTTCAGGGACAAAAAGGATCAGCTATTGATGCACACAACCACAGGGGGAAATCTCAAAACCATTAGGCTGAGGGAAAGACACCGAAGCCCAAAATAAAAAGAGCAGATACGATTCCACGGAGACCCACATCCATAGATGCAGGCCGGTCTACAGGGACACAGAGCAGGGGGCTGCCCAGGGAGCAGGAGGGAGGCTGGGGGTGGCAATGTTCTCTCCCTGATGGGGTGACGGGTCCCATGTGTGTACACACCCGCCTGTCTCTACTTGTGAAGCTGTTTAAAAAATAACCGCCTAGGGCCCTCCCTGGTGACGCAGCGGGTTAAAGCGCAGCACTGAGAAGCTGCAGCCGTTTCCGCACGAGTTCGAATCCCCGCCTGCCCCGGAGGTGACCGCATGGTGCGGCAGACCTCTCCTGACCCGCCCGCTGCTCCCCTCAGCAGTGTACTACGTCAGTCGGCCTGTTCTGCTCCCCGCTCTGTGTCTGGTGAATCCTCTCACCACCCCTGTGCCTCTGGCCTGTACCCCAGCTCTGCAGACATGAATAAATAAATCTTTAAAAATAAATAGATAGATAATAACCATTTAAAAGGCCAGCACGGAGAGCAGCCTGCTGTTTCTCACTGAGGCGCTGCAGCCGCCCTGTACCGCCATCTCCTGCCGCCAAATCCCCCAGCGGCTTCTGCTCACTGTCCCCCAGCCCCTGTCTGGCCCCCTCAGGCCATATCAGGGCCCCCCACGCCCACCTCCATTCCACCACACACCCCTGGCTCTCTGGCCCCACCCTCGAAGCCCCAGACTGTCACCCGGCTGCCCTGCGTCTGGAAGGTTCTTTCCCAGGTGCTACAGGCCGAAATGCAGCAGCGACCTCAGATCTAGGTCTGCCCAGGGCTCCCGCCTTGGCCACCCACCTGTGACAGCCCTTTCCCGGCCCGACCTCCCCCCACATCACGCCACGTAAAACTAACTTATTTGGGGTTTTGCTTGTCGTCCTCAACTGAAATCTGTATCTTGGTTCTGAGTTGCTGGTGTGGCCCCTGCAGGCCTCCTCCGCCGAAGGAGTTCAAGAAACACCTGCCAAAGGGAGGTGTAGGAGGTGTCGTAAGTGCTTTTCATCGGTCTTGCGACCCCCCCCACCTGTCACTCTCCCGCGTTACACTTGGGGACACTGAGGCAAGGCAGAGTGGGCACAGCAGAGCCTGGCTCCCAGCCAGCCGCTCTGCCCGCTGCTCCCAGCACACCGTGGTCTACACCCCAGCTCCTGCCAGAGACTGGCGCGGGCCCCCCTTCATCTCGGAGTGCCCCCTCCTCTCTGCCTTGCCTGAAAGGGAAGAAGGGGGGTCCGTGACGCGCCTCGGGAACGTGGGCCACCAGACCACACGGGCTCAGGGGGGCTCAGGCCCTGCTGCTGGGGTCACAGGTGCCCCACCACACCTGCCATGACTCAGGTATCCTCAGGACAGAATTTGGGCCCCCCGAGGGCTCCCCATGCCTGCCCACGGTATCACCCAGGCACTTGTGAGCCCACATTTGTTACTGGAGTAACCAGAAGTCTCGGGGCGCCTGCTGCATCCCTGCCCACCCCCAGAACTCCTGAAGGGCATGGCTCCCACCTCACCACAGGCCATCTCGGCCGGGCAGTTCCAGCCGGGCTGCCCCAGCCCCCGGCTCCGTCCTTCCCCAGCTCGTCCTCAGGCCAGGACGCCTGAACTCGGGTCCCTGCCGCCAGACCCCTCCTGCCCGCCAGCCACCCCACCCAGCCCGCAGGCCTGGGGTCTGCCCTGACATGGGGCCCACTGCGAGGGTGACCGTACCCAGGGACAGTCGGGCTGGCACCGCGGGTGACCCAGCGAGGGGGCTGCCAGGCCACGGTCCCTGCCATGCAGGGGCCCACCCTGCTCCCAGGGTGCCCAGATCCTCGTGAGGCTCCTCCGTGGGGTGTCCGGGAGCCCCAGCTCGCCTCGATGTCCCCGGGCAGGCCCTCCGCCCTCCTCCACCTCTTGGTTTTAGTCACCAGCAGTGGAGCAGCAACACAGTCAGCACTGAGACCCCCAGACCCGGGCCTGCAGCCCCCAAACATCTGGAAGCAGGAGCCAGGCACACGCCCTGGCTAGACCAGTGATCCCGAGACAGCCTGCGGCCCTCTCCAAAGCGCTTTCTAACGGGGGGTCGCTTTCATTTCATTCTGGGAGGGGAGGCCAGAGGGGCCCAGCGGGAACACTGAGGGGGGTCAGGGGGGCCAGCGTGCCGGAAAAGAGCTGAGGCAGGTGACCGATGCCCGACTCCCCGGGGTCCTGTGGCCTGTCCCTTCCCTCCACTGCCCCTGCCCTGAGCCGGGTCCTTCCTGGGGGCAACCTGTTCCTTGGACAAGCTGGCTGTCCCCCAAAGCCAAGTTGACCCCAAGCTGGGGCTGGAGGAGAGGGTGTGTGCTCTGGCGGGACAAGGACAGATGGGCTCCCTCTCCTCTGACCCCTCACTGCTCCAGCCAGGGCCCAGCCACCGTGATACTTCGACCCCTTAATGCCAAAGTAGCTCCCAAGTCCCTTGAGCAGGTGCACAGCCACTGCCCTGCCCTCACCGTCCAGCTCGCTGCCTCCCTGGAGTCCAGCTGCCGTCTGACCAGCGCTCAGCCACTGGAGGGAGGACACACTTTTCTGTACCTCTGAACCTGTTTTGTCCATTTTACCACCCCCCCACTTCCTGCTCTGGCAAGCACCAATCTGTTCTCTGTATCTCGGGGTTTGTTTTGATTTGTTTTGGTTTTAGAAAACACGCACCGTGAGATCACACCGTATCTGCCTTTCTCTGACTTATTCCACCTGGCATCACACCCCGAGGTCCGCCACGGTGGCCAGCTCTCATTCTCTTCCACGACTGACACATCGTCCATGGCATCACACCTCTCTGATCTAGCCGGCCACTGCGGGACACTTAGGTTATTTCTACATCTTGGTTATTGTAATCATGCTGCAATAAGCAAGCGTTTTCATTTCCTTCTGATCAATGGCCAGACGTGAAAGTGCTGGCTCATCTGGTGGTTCTCTATTTTTTAAGATGTATTTATTTTTGCATACAAGAACTGGGGTACAGGCTAGAGTTGTGGGGGTGAGAGGAGTCCCCAAGACAGAGTGGGGAGCAGAACAGGTGGAGCCACTGAAGCACCCTGCTGAGGGGGCAGCGGGGAGACGGGAGAGGTCTGCTGCGCCCTGGGGTCACTCCCTGGCCGGGGGTCCAACTTGCGCTGAGGCTGCGCCCCAACCCCGTGTGCCCCCAGGAGCCCTGGCGGCTGTTCACCCCAGGTGCGCACGGGCCTTCCCTTCTCCCCGCGGCCTCGCCAGCGTCTTCACCGGCCGCTCCCGCAGGCTGACGGGATACCAGTGGGCGCTTGGCCTGCTCGTCCCTGACGCCTGGGGCGGCGCCCGCTGTCCTCTGTCTGTCCCCCGAGGGAAACGTCCGCTCAGCTCTTTGCCCAGTTTGGAATTGGATTATTTGTTTCTTTCCCACTGGGCTGTCTGAACTCGTCATGTGGCGGCTATTCGCCGCGGACCGACCGACTTGCGGGCATCTCCTGTCGGCGGGATGCTTTTCCGTCCTTTCCTGACGACTTTGCCGTGCAGAAGATTTGAGCTCGTTAGTGTCCCGCTTGTTCATTTTTGCTTTTGTTGCTTTTGCTCAGCGTCAGATTCAAAATGTTTCATACCAGTGTTGTACAGAC